ACACGGTAGCCCATGGCAACCCACTGCAGCAGGGGCTGCAGCCTATGCCATCGCTGGCGACTCACGGCAGCCCAGCTCCAGGTTGAGCTGTTGTTTAGCATCTTAGCTGTAGAGGGCAGTGTCACTAGCCCTCATATGTGGGATCTGAACCGGGGCCCTCTGGCGTCCCAAGCCAGCTCTTAACCATTGCGCCACTCGGCAGGCCCTCCTAAGTTTTTAAAAAATATTTTTATTAAAATATAGCTAACATATAATATTATATTAGTTTCAGGTATAACCATAGTTATTCAACATTTGCATACCTAAAGAAGTGATCATTATGATAAGTCCAACAACCATCTGGCACTGTCCCACGCTGTCACAGTATTAATGACTATATTCCTCATGCTGTATATTACATCTCCATGACTTATTTGTTTTATTCCTGGAAATTTGAACCTTTTATTCCCCTTCACCTTTTACCCCTTTTTAAATTTTTCAAGTACAGTTGATCTTCAATATTATTTTATATTTCAGATGTACAGCATAGTGGTTAGAAATTTATATAATTTAAGAAGTGAGCCCCCTAACTATTCCGGTACCCACCTGGCACTGTACATAGTTATTACTGTATTATTGATTGTATTCCGTATGTGTTACTTTACATCCACATGACTATTTTGTAGCTTCCAATTTGTATTAATCCCGTCACCTTTTTACCCCGCTCCCAACCCCCTCCCATTTATCACCCCAACACATCAGGTACCCATCTGACACCATACATAGTTACTACAATATTATTGACTATATTCCTTATGCTATACCCTACATCCCCATGACTACTGTGTGTGACAGACAACTTGTACTTCTTAATTCCTTCCTCTTTTTCATCCACTCCCCAACCCCCCTCTCACCTGGCAGCTATCAAAATGTTCTCTGTATCTCTGAGTTTGTTTCTGTTTTGTTTATTTTGTTCTTTAGATTCCACATATAAGTGAAATCACATTGCATCTATCTTCCTCTGTCTTACATACTCCACTCAGCACAATACACACCCTCCAGGTCCATCCATGCCATCATGGATGGCAAGAACCCATTCCCTTCCATGGCCAAGCAATATTCCATTGTATATATGTACCACCTCCTCTTTATCCATTCATCCATCAACAGACACCCAGGCTGCCTCCACATCTTGGCCATTATAAAGAGGGCTGCAATGAATATATGGATGCACTTATCCCCTCGAAATAGCGTTTCGGTTTCTTCAGATAAATACCCAGAAGTGGGGTTACTGGGTCCTTCTTTGTCTCTTACAATAGCTTTTGTTTTAAAGTCTATTTTGTCTGGTGTAAGTATTGCCAGCCCAGCTTTTTGTTTGTTTCCATTTTCATGAAATATCTTTTTCCATATGGTAGCTTTACTTTTAATTTTTTGAGGCGCATCCATACTATTTTCCATAGTGGCTGCACCAATTTACATTCCCAACACACGAGGGTTCACTTTTTTACACAGCTTCGCCGAGACTTGTTTGTTGATTTATTGATGATAGTCATTGTGACAGGTGTGAGGTGATATCCCACTGTGGTTTTAATTTGCATTTCCCTGATGATTAGTGACATTGAGCATCTTTTCATATGTCTATTAGCCATCTGTATACCCTCTTGGGAGAAATGTCTGTTCAGGTCCTCTGCCTATTTTTTAATTGGATTGTTTGGGTTTTTTGGTGTTAAGTTGTATGAGTTCTTTATATATTTTGGGTGTTTATTTTATTCTTTTGTTTCCTTTCCCAAGAAGACATGTCCAAAAAAATATTGCTTAGAATGATGTCAAAGAGTTTACTGTGTATGTTTTCTTCTAGGAGTTTTATGGTGTTGGGTCTTAACAATTAAGTGTTTAATCCATTTTGAGTTTATTCTTGTACATGGTGTAAGAAAGTGGTCTAGTTTCATTTTTTTGAAGACTGTCATTTCTCCATTTTATATTCTTGTCTTAAAGAAGTCTATATAATGTTCCTTATAGTACTGTTTTGGTGGTGATGAACTCCTTTAGCTTTTTCTTGTCTGGGAAGCTCTTTATCTGTTCTTGAATTCTAAATGATAGCCATGCTGGGTAGAACAATCTTGGCTATAGGCTTTTATACCTTTAATCATTTTGAATATTTCTTGTCATTTCTGCCTGGCCTGCAAAGCTTCTGTTGAAAAATCAACTGATAGCCTTATAGGAGCTCCCTTGTACATGACTAACTGCTTTTCTCTTGTTACTTTTAAGATTTTCTCTTTCTATTTAACTTTTGGCATTTTCATTATGATGTGTCTTGCTGTGGGCCTCTTTGGGTTCATTTTGTTTGGTACTCTGCACTCCCTGGGCTTGCATGTCTGTTTTCTTTACCAGGTTAGGGACATTTTCAGTCGTTATTTCTATTGGGTCTTCGGAAAAGTCATGACGTATTTTGTCTGTTTATTGTTTGTTTGTTTGTTTGTTTTTTTAAGATTTTTTACAAGGAAATTGGGGAAGGGAAATAGTGTTGGGGGAATCGGGGAAGGGGAACAGACAAGTTGCTGTCCTTTGTTCTTCAGTCTAGTTGTGGAGGACGTTGCTTCACTGGCCCATGTTGGTACCATCATTGTGCTCTTCCCAGGTGAGGCAGATCGGTCACCGGTCTCTGGACAGCTGCTCACGGCAGCTCTTGGCAGCTCACACTGGCTGCCGGCTGCTCACACTGGCTGCCGGCCACACACGGTAGCTTATGGCAGCCCTCTGCCAGCGACTCACGGCAGCCCAGCTCCAGGTCGAGCTGTTGTTCACCATTTTAGCTGTAGAGGGCAGTGTCCCTGGCCCTCATGTGGGATCCAAACCAGGGCTGGTGTCCCAAGCCAGTTCTTAACCAACGCGCCACTCAGCTGGCCCTTGTCTATGTTCTTCAAAGGTCATTTATTTATATAAAGAACAAAGATCAATCTGATATATTGCCCATTTTGTTCGATAACCTTTTGCCATCTTTCAGTGAGCTTCATAATTCCTCGTTCATAGAAGGACCTGTTTTTANGCTGGCCCTAGATCAGTGGTTCTTGATCCTCTTTGTACATTAGAGTCACTGGGGTTACTTTTAAGGAGTACTGATGCTTGGACCCTTTTTAAAGAATACAGGTTCGTGGGCTTCGTTCCCAGAGATTGTGTTGTGATTGGTCCAGGGAGGGGAAAGCTGCCAGGTGATTCCAATGAGAACCACTGGTCCAGACTTCGGCAGTTTGCTTTCCTCATTTGTCCATTCAGTGCCTTAGCTGTCTGCTATGATTGCCTTGGGGTCTCCAAGCTTGCCATCCAGGTATGAACTGTGTTCTCACAGGAAGCCAAACACTGTATAGCAACTTGCTATGTCTTATGTTAACAGGTAGTAAGGTATGTTAGTTATTCCAATGGTTTGGGTAATAGAGTTTGTGATATACCGTAAGTAGGTTATGAATTTTCAAATAATTATAATGTTCTGAAATGCTAAATCAGCATGTTATTCTTATTTTGGTAGATAAAGCCTTTCAAATTTTGCAGGTTTTTTTAAAGTTCTTGATTGCTTTTGTACTGTAGATGTATGGAAATTTCAACTCACAGTTTAGATGGTAGAGTGCTGGGCACAAGTTAGCTAGCTGGCTGAATCAAATGCATCATGATTGCTTTGACTCCGTGATTTTCTTCTATGCGACTGTTTTTTCATATCCAGAGAAGAATGGACAGTCCATAGATGCTTCTGCAGCATTTGAAAAGAGCTAGATGTAGCATTTCTGGAGCATGTATGATCATAGAGGAACTTAATCTGAGATTAGGGCCAAGTAGGGAAGGACATGGTGAGGATTTACTGACAGGTGTACTGTAGGGACTGCCTGCTGTTACCTGTGGGTAAGTGTGAGGGCTGTGTGGGGAAAATGCACTAATGGATGTCACTGTCTGCTATGAACCAGGCTGCCAGAGCTGCTGAGGGAGAGAGCAGACAGAAGTTCTTCACCCAGGATATTAATGGCATCCTCTTAGAGTGAGTATCTTTTGTTTCTTTGGATCTGCTATTACCATGCCTGGGTTGAGCAGGCCAGAAGAAATGGGGGTATGATTTAAGTATATAAAGGTAAGCACCGATGAGACTTAAAAAATTAGCTTTTGTTTTATTGTTCTTTTTAAAAGGGGAGGACACCAAATATTTGTCTCTAGGAAATGACAGACCTTACAGTTCTGGGCAGCAGGCATTATTGGACACTGTATATAATCATAGCCTGTTGGAAGAGGATTTTCTGACCAAGTATGAGAGGAGCTGAGAGAGAAGGTGTTGCCTGCCTGTCGCTGAGAAAAGTGAGAGATGCCTTGGAACAGTCAGGAGCCTTCTCTCCTGGGTGCTCCATAGCGTATTGGTCATTCTTTTCTTGCTCTCACTTCTCCCAGGGCCGGCGTGCATCATCCCATAACACTTCTCCCCAATGTCCGAACCTCTAAGACGCCATACCGTATGAATTAGATTAAATAGGAAAAAAACAAAAACCTAAAATTCACACATATAAATCCAAACCAGATTGTTTGTACCTGGCCCCCCAGTTGCCAGTTGCCAGCTTCTCTCCTGGCTGCATTATGTAGTAGAGGGAGTTTGTTGCTCAACAGCTGAGGATTGTGCACATGGAAGAACAGTTGTTGTGACTCGGGAATATTCTAGCAAAGGACCTTGCCTGGCCAGGATGAGGATTGGCCACTTGGTTCAGGAAGCCTGGGCTGTAGTGAGCACCTGAGGGTCAGATGAGAGCTTTGTGCCCACAACGCCTGCTGGAACATGCCAAACACAGAGCACTCAAGGGATCGAAGCCAAATATTGTCCTGCTCGTCTCTGGGGACACTGGAGGGACGAGGACTTCCCTGACTTCCTGATCAGGGATAGAACTGGGAACTGAAAAAGAAGGAAACACTGCTGGAAAGCATTTCCTGTTAACTCCAAGTAGCTCTGTCACTCTCCAGTTGGAAAGCTTTTCTGTTCCTTTGTTTATGACATTTAATACTTCAGAGCTTGTTCTCCCTGGCTCTGTTCTCTGGACTACCTTTGACTTGGTCTTGCCTTTGACCTAAGAGCCACGTTCTTCAGGTCTGGAAGTTCTTGTTTGGTGACTGCTGGAGATCTGTTGCATTGGCCACTCAGTTACATTGTGTGATGGATAAGATAAGGTCTGACCTGCTCTTGGCTCCTAGCTTTCCTGTCCATGGTAGGGTGACCTAATGACGAGAGAAGATGCGTGAGCTGCATCCCACTGATGCTCTGTTCTGTTCTTCAGCATAGAGGTGCAAGCTCGGGAGCTGAGTAGCCAGGTCCGTTCTGGGGTGTATGCCTACCTTGCTTCATTCCTGCCCTGCAGCAAGGACACCCTGGTCAAACGTGCCCGAAAACTTCACCTTTATGAACAGGTGAGTGACTCTGGAGGGGAGCCCCTTGGCTTTGGGGCCCAGCGGGAGGGGGTGATTGAGTCTTCACAGATGCCACATCTGCTGCTGCACTGTCTCTGGGCGATTATTTCCTATAGTGTGTCCTTGGTGTAAGAAGACATGCATAAAACAGACTTATGATATGTCCTGCTCTCTGTAGGGGGGGCGTCTGAAGGATCCTCTCCAGAAGCTTAAGGAAGCCATTGGAAGGGCAATGCCAGAGCAGATGGCCAAGTACCAGGATGAATGCCAGGCACACACGCAGGCCAAGGTTGCTAAGTAAGTGTGTTTGATATCTCTGATGGCTGTCTTCAGCATTCCCATCCTCTTATCTTAGAAGCCCTGGGGGTGCGGGGGAGGGGTAGGCGGTAGGCTGGAAGAAGCCATTCTCCTGTGGGACTTAGGGTCCCATTTAACTCTGTTCATCTGGTAGGATGCTGGAAGAGGAGAAAGACAAGGAGCAGAGAGAACGGATTTGTTCTGATGAGGAAGAAGATGAAGAAAAGGGGGGCAGAAGGATAATGGGACCCCGGAAGAAATTCCAGTGGAATGATGAAATCAGGTGTGCCCAAACTGGGACCTTGCCTCATTGGAGGGTTTGTGGGGCCAATGTCTGAGCATGTCCCCGTATTTCTAACGAAGGTTAGAGTCATTTACTTTAATCAGGGCTGCTGAAAGCACATGATTTAAAACCTTCAAGAAGCATTTGGGATAGTTTGAAGTTTCTGACTTCTGCCTACCCCTCAGGGAGCTGCTGTGCCACGTGGTGAAGATGAAACTGGAGAGCTACGATCTGGAGAAGAACAACAAGGCCCATTCCTGGGAGGACTACGTGAAGGCCTTTCTGGATGCTGAGGTCAGACCTCTCTGGCCCAAAGGCTGGATGCAGGCCAGGTGAGGGCTCACGAGTAGCCACTATGGTCGGTGTGACGATGAGGTGGAGTGTTCTGACGGTAAAGAAATATTTGAGTGTTTTTTTTGTGCCAGGCCAACAGGGTCCCTTCCCTCAGGGAATCACTGTCCTGTTGACTGGACTGATCTCAACAGAAGAGGTCTTCTCTGTCTTTCCTAGAAGAGGGAAGTTATCTGTGGGGCTTTATCTTTGTTATTCTTTGTCCCACTTCAAAGTTGGCTGCGTGCACTTCTTACCTGAATCTGCCCTTTCCTGTTTTGAGAAAATAGCTTCTACTAGAAATTGAAAGATGAATTAATCTGGGGAATATCTTAATGTTCTGAACAGAAGTCTCATTTGCAAGTGGCATGTGTTTCCATTTATTTATGTCTTTAATTTCTTTCAGCAGAGTTTTATAGTTATCATTGTGTAAGTTTTTCATGTCCTTAGTGAAGTTCATTACTCAGTTGTGTTTTTTTTGTCTTTTGTTTTTTTTTAAGATTTTTATTGGGGAATTGGAACAG